CTCAGTCATCACTCCCTTTTTGATCATGTCACCTTTTACACAATCCGTCCATCTCTTTCTAGGTCTACCTCTACCGATGTACCCTTCCACACTCATGATGATATCTTATGATATCTTCTTAATGTGAAAAAAAGACATCTAATCATTTACTTCATAATAATGTATTAATAATAGACTTTTGCTAGTGATCAAACTTTCTTTGATATATGTTATTAAAATTGTTAAATAACAAGTAAAGCGGGAAAACGGGTTTTTAATATTACTTCCAATAGTTAAGCTTCATTGTAATACATATTATTCCAGAAGTTTAGCTAACTTACTTAAAGTAGGTGAGGAACTTGTGGGTTATAAGCTATTCGTAACAAGGAAAAGGTTTTCATAGACGTTTATTATATACCAATGTATATATTTTTCCTGTAATCAATGTTCCATTAATGGAACGTAACACTTTTGTATGTTAGTTCAATTAAGGAAATAAAGTTTTCTCTATTTTGTTTTAACCCAAATAAATGTATTTTCTCATATTCTTATATCTCATATGCATTTAAGGTAGGGGACACATGAATTTGGAGATGTCTACGGACAGTGGTCGATTCGTTGTTTTAACAATGTCAGGTAGCCGCTTGCTAGTTTACCTACCATCTTACTATTAAACTAAAAGAGGCCGCACACCATTGACTAAACAATCGCACAATTGTTGTGCGATTGTCGATTCTTTCGCAGTCCATTCAACTGCTGAGTTGCACAACTAAAAATCGAGTAGTGTGGACTTCTATGTAAGCACATACAAATCAAAGCGCGATTACACAATCGTGCGATAATTTACCGTGTGTGAGTGCTCTTATTAAAAAAGTTTTGATTAGTAACACTCATCCTGCTAAGTTACTTTTTAAATCAATTTTATATTTTTTAACTGAGAGCGTTCAGTTGTTTAATCATACTAATATTATAAATGCGAAAGTTTCGATGGAAGAATGGATGTTTGTTAGAGTTTGTAGCCTAAACGGCTGAACTTTTGTTTTTTTTTTCTTAAATTCCACGCGAACGGTGTTGCAGGCGAAACCTAGTCATTAATAAACAATCGTAGATATAGGAGACCAAAACACTAAAAGCAATTAACAGAAAAATAACTGTTCCTTTGAAGGTAAATGCGGTAGGTGTGAATGACGTCATTGGACAAGCCGGTCGGTGTATGTCTAGATAAATAAGCGTTAGAACCCTCACAAAAGGATTTAATTCCATAGCTCGCGTATAATGGAGTCGAGCCACCGGCGAACTACAATGGATGTCTCGCCGCAACTGAATAATAAATGTATCACATAAATTAGTTGCAGCCACGGCGAAGGATTAATCAGATTGTCGCTGACGTGTTAGAAAGTAATTAAAACTTTTTTTTAATAAACTACCAATGATAGACAGTCCGTATAGAAAATATGCCATTGTTCCTGCGTCATTGATGTATTCCTATGTCTCTTTTATTCGCTACTAGCTTTCGCACGCGACTCCGTCCGGGTGGCATTAAAAAAACGAAAGTAAAAGTCTATGTGTTCTTTCAGACTATCATTTACATTTAATAAAAAACTTATTTTAATATTTTGTAAGTTATTTATTATGATAAGACAATTTAATATCCCTTTCAAATAAGGGCTCAAATTATTCCAAAGGGATATAATTATGCTTTTTCTACGATAAAATGTTTATACATGGAAGAGTATAGTTTAAATACAAAATTTTTACATAGCAACACAACCAAAGTAACTAACAATAACTTATGTACAATTTATAAATAGTATTTACAAAGATGTAATCTTGTTACGTATTTACAGTTAAAGAATAAACTACTAGTATAAGTTTTCGTTGACGGAAATACATATGTGATTTTATAAATCGATTACAATTCTCTTTAAGTGCCATGCACTAGAAATTATAATATAAAATTTAGAAATTAAAAAATACGTCTACAAGCTTTTATTCAAACGTTGAAAGTTACAATTAACACGCTTATTTTATTAATATTGGAAGTTTGATTTAAATTCTATATTAAATAATTTCAATCTTTAGAAAAACTAGGTTAGAATTAACATGTATTATGTATTGGGATACTAAAAGTCAATCGTAATTATAATTTAAATATAACAATTAAAATGAAGTAATAACTTTGGCACAATTAACTGATCACTTTATACAGAGTAACTTTTTGAAAGCTCTTCGGAAATCCATATTGAAAATTGTATAAATCAACGGATTTAATGCCGAATTGATGTAGCCAAGCCAAGTTATAAAATTAATAAACTTCCCTGATAAACAACAATTGCTACAAAATGGAATAACGAGATACAATACAAAGAAAGGAAGCCAACAAACCACGAACACACCCATGATGATGCCTAGAGTTCTCGCCGCGCGACGTTCTCTTGTCAACGAAATACGTTGTTTTTCTTCAATAAATTGATATACAGTGTTCTCTTGTGTTGTTTTACATCGTTTATGACTTTTCTTTGTTACGGATTCCTTTATTTCTATTATTTCATCTTCTTGTGTCTCCTTAGAGTTACTTTCAGATGAAGTGTTCCTATTTTCTGCGTTATCTCCCGCATCTGTGATTGAGTTATCATTAGACAGAATTGGTGTAATTAATTTGTTATGGCATTTATCATCTTTACTCCAATATTTCCTTTTAGGTTTCTTCTTTGGTGTAGACTTTTTTGATCTTTTATGCTTATGGGTATCACTATCTGATACGAGACGGGTAACTCCTTGATGTTCATTTTGATTGCCATCAGAGCTGACTGAATCTTGGTCGTTCTGGTCACTATTCTTTGAAGCTAATCTATTACGACCGCTCGAAATAGTACTTATCTTTGTAGCTTTAGCTCGATCTCTTAACCTTTTTTTAGTTGCCAAATAAATTTCGAAATAAACAACGGTCATTATCACGAGTGGGATATAAAATGAACCGGACGAGGAGAAAATAACGAAACCCGGTTGCGATGTTAACCGGCAAGGGGTATCCGGCTCGAATACTTCGGGCCAATCGTTCCATCCTAGTAACGGCGGTGAACTAATAATAAGTGAGAATATCCAAACGATACCAATCATAAACAGAACCCTTTCCAGAGTTCTTTTCTGAGCATAATTTATAGGATCTGTGATCGCCCAATAACGGTCAAGTGCTATAGCACATAGATTCAAAATAGATGAAGTACAACACATAATATCACAAGTAAGCCACATCTTGCAAACATAGATCCCGAACACCCATTGTCCTAATATAGAATAGGCTACGTTTAAAGGTAAAACTAAAATTGCTACAGTCAAATCAGCTACCGCTAGTGAAACTATGAAGAAGTTTTGAACAATTCTCAAAGGTTTATACGTGAACACACTAAGTATTACTAAGATGTTGCCTATTATAGTGGATATAATTATGAGCGTAAGAATCACAGCCGTACATATGGCCTCCCATTCTGGAACAGCAAGCGTTATACCTAAACTACTTGGGAATTTCGGTTCATCGGCAACAGCGCATTCGTCTTTAACGATATCGTAATAATCAGAACTATTGAATGAACTGAAGTTGGAGTGATGAGTTATTGTTTGACCCATTTTGTGTTATTATTGTGTACATTTTAAGTAGTTTCATTGGTGGCATTTTCTTTGTATACAATTATTATGACTGGACATATAGCGCAAGGTAGCTCAGATATATCTCTCATCGGATACATTTCATATCTTCTCTGTATAGTATCCATAGTTAAGATGTACAACAGTAAAATTAAATTTTTCTCATATAATTTTAAATGAGTTTAAACTGCTCCTGGACTGGATCAATGTTTACCTGTAACAAAAAGCATTAAATCAGTTAAAAGTAAAGGAAATATATATATTCTGTTTTAATCTTTATTCTCATACACGTTAGATGCAATCTCTTTTAAAATGCCTTTTTTTTCAAGGCGAGCATAATTGCAAGATATTTGCTCGATATATGTAAGTACATCTACTCGTATGAACGCATCTAGATTATTGTTTGTTTACTCTGTTGTTATTTTTTTTTTAAATAATAAAGATTCTTTATTGTAAATCATTGATTACAGAATCAATATCGCTTTGGCTCCTTAACTAGGAAATCCTGTGTATAAGGAGCCAATGCCTTCCCTTTCTGGTACATTAAATAACAAAGAGAAAAAAAAAAAAACTAGAGTATCGAAACCATATAAATTACAGAAAAAATAAACCTACTGTTAATTAGTAATAATAAACTGTTATTTTATTATATTGGAATATTGAAATTGTTTTAAAATAATTTAAATCATCGCGTGGGATAAATTCTAATTTTTAGTAACAAAACCAATTTGTCATTTTTGCGAAGTAATTTATTTAAATAGGTAAAAACATTCACTTTCCTTTTTCTTTTAGAAAATTTTTGTAGGAAATTTAATTTCTCGACGACATGACAATGTTAGGAAAATATCAAAGAAAGAAATTTGTTAAAGGAAAAGTCAAATTATAAGTTTTCGTAAATTTGGTTGCCTTGTATAAAAGGTCTTCTGTTAAAATGAATTCACTGATACGTGTAATTATTCCATCAAGAAAGCAGTTCATGAAAAAAATTTTAAAGAGAAAAAAATTGACCAAAAAAGATTTACAAGAGAGTGTTTTACTCGGGTACTCGAGTAAGTCCGTTAATTTAAAGAATGGGAAGGGATAGTTTGACGTCGGACACATAAGCAGGTGAAATATCTATCCATATCTCGACGTCTATACGTCCTCTCCTTTGTCGATAAAAATTAAGCAACGTAACTGCGAATACAGATGTCTATGCAGTGATCACTTCGCTAATTTTGCGAATTCCAGGAATTGCATAGCATCATAACCCAAACAACTAGATTTTACAGCGTTCGGTAATATGTTACATGTTCAGTATTTCAAGTTTTGTTTTTAATTTTGTTTTTGATTCAATTATACATTATTTAATGAAAAATTAAAGCGTTCTAAATAAAGCCATACATTTTTTTATTTTGTTTTAAAAAAACAAATTTATAATCGTACATATGTTGTCGCAAACTGGTACACAAAGAAAAATACTTGGTCTGTACGCTTTGACTGTGAAAAATATAAGCATAATGTGAACAGAGCCTCAGGGCAGTAAACCTGCAGCTGACTTCAAGCGAATCAACTGCGTATGTGATAACTTTATATAAAAAATACGTTTCAGAAATTATGTTGCATACAAAATTAATATTAAAAAAGATCCAGCCTGAAACATTTTGCATTAAAATTTACATGTATGTTTATGTGTATGTGTATGTATATGTTACATGCATGTATTAATATGTTTTTGACCGACTTCCCAAAAAGAAGGAGGCGCTCAAACGTCTGTATATTTTTTTCTTCACATTTTTAAATCATCTTAAACTTTTCCTAGCCCCTACGGAGGGTCGGTACAGTATGCTGCTCTTCCATTTCCATCAGGCGTCATATCTAAATCAAAATGATTTTGCCCTATCTGTTGCTCGCGACTTCGTCCACGTGCAATAAAAATATAAAGCTTATGTTAATCAGTCATAACATAGCTTTTTAATAATAAAAAAAAATTGAAATCGGTTTAGTAGTTTTTGAGTTATTTCCATACATACGAATATCTAAAAATCTTTTAAATATAAATAAATATTACTTAGACGTACGATAAAATCTATGTACCAATGTGATTTTAAAAAAACAACATAAATCCCAGTTGTGAATTATAATTGATGTTCAATTCAATGAGCTCGCAAACAATCAGGATAGAATTGCTTTTCGATCCAGTTCGTCGTTTGCTCGGAGGAAAGCACTTCTAATAGAATAGAACGACGTCCGACGCAGACTGTTTATTTCAACGCCGTTTGTTAGGAGCCAGCAAAACATTTAAAATGTGAGAAAAAAGATTTACTAACAGAAGTAATTACTTCTACTACTTTTACATATACAAATGTAGTTTTCCATTCCTACCAATTTAATATACTAAAATTTTCTGATGTACATAATCGCATGTGTTGACGCAAATTTTTTTAAAATTTAATAATTTTCATGGTCATTTGCGTCATATGTAGAAGCCAAATATAAAAGAAAATAGAATAAAAAAAATTGTTTTTGAATTAAAAAAATAAGATTGACAATTACTAATAGTTTCCAGTGAGATAAGATTTTTTTGGTTGGAAACATCAATGCTTTAGTTCAGTTTTTAAAACTGTCATTTCAATATTCTCGTTAACATAAAATAATTCACTATTATTAACTTTCTAAGGAGATTTACTGAATTATTGCATTATTAATAAGGTGTAAAATAAAAATTACACAAAATGCAGATATTCCGTTTTCGATAGAACAATCTCTTTACAACCGAGTGCAGAACCCAATAATATATTTTTAACAATCTTCATTGTATATATCTACATAAAATGGAGCCTAAATACACAAATTCATTCACCCATTCAACATATTTAAACCAATGCCCTCATTTCTTTTCTTGTAAATATTTTTTTTTGTTTACTGATCGTCTGTAAAAACCATAAATACTTTTCTGATATTAAAATGGACCAAATTTAAATTAATACACAAGATGTAAATTATTTAAGTTTATTAATATAATATTCAAAGTGAATTAAAATATGCAAATACGGATCCCCAGATATTCACCGAATACCGCATGATGGGCGTCACACCGTTAGCTACGCAATTACTTAACGTTGTAGAAATAAGTTCTCATGGATTTAATAACCTACTGGGACAGACAATACTCTATTAAAATATCCAGCTATTCGACTACATAATTAGCTCTTTAAAATATACTACAGAAGTTATTCCAAAGGAACTAAGATTAACTTCTGATATTCATGCGGGTTTATAAACTTTGTCCTTTTGAACAATGCCTTGTACCAAACATACGGTAAACAGTTGTAAAAGATAACGAAATATCTTAGAATGTTCCTATACTTCTGGACATATTCGGAATTTAAATTATAATTCAAGATAACAAATATTTTATAAACATGTAAACCAAAACTTGAGACAATTGAGTTTCAAGTGAGAATGTAACAAATTATTGAAATAAATGTGATCGACTTGGGAATTATATCAATGCTTAGCCAGACTTAAACTAATCCAATGAAAGGACTCCAAATATTATTGTTTCTCAATAACTTTCTTATTTAAGGTCAAGGGTAGGTCAAGGAATGTCAACTCTAAATACGTCAAATAGAATTGAAACATATAAAGACTAACAGACACCCGAATCTGCACTAATATAAGAGGAAAGATTTGTATTTTTGTATGTATTGATATAACTCAAAAACTACTGGACCGATTACGAGAATTCTTTCACGGTTAAAAAACTACCTTAATATAGACCGTCCATTTTTAGTATTGTCCTAATTTCACGCGGACAAAGTCGTGAGAAACAGCTAATGGCAATATAAAACCAATAGGTTTTGGTTTGGCAGTTACATTTGCTTGTCATATATTCTTTTGTTTATTTATAGTGATGATATTTGTTACCAAATTGAATACTCAAAAATTGTGTGAGTTTATGCTTTAGCATCTAACAGCTTGAGTAAAACTCTTTTCCCATCTGTCAGTCGAAGTTTTCAACGGAAATCGTTTTATCGGATATACCTCTTCTAATCAACAGCTCTACCAATCTTAAAGAGTGACGTGACATTCGATTCGTATGTTCCCCTAAGTGTCATAGACGCAGAAACAGGCGCTTCTTGTTTTCATAACAAGACTGACAAAGGGGGTAATGGTTTTTACGCGTATGTAAGTTTTGTGTGGGTTTTTATGTATGTAAATTCCATTGTGACGACCTAGAGCATGAACGAATGAACAGATTTTGATCAGTGTGTCATTATTGTAATATTTTTCTTCCGAGTGTCTTTTTAAGGTTAGGTTATTAGTCCGTAGTCATAAACGATTTAATGCTAAAACTTTTATATGAATAGAAATTATAACTTTTCATATTTTCCTTTCGAATGATATTAAAATATTACATTAAATTGTGAGTACATCGTTTTTATCGTAACGATCTCATTAGGCCACGCGAAGGAAAACGGATTTGTGAAATATGTCAACTTCAAAGCTTAACCTATTTTTACCCTAATTAAAAATTTTACAACAAACATTAAACAAGTTTAAGGCAACGCCATTTGAATTTGGCTACCTATGTTTAGTAGCGATGACGTAATAGGGGTAAGTTTCACAATAAGTCTCGTTTAATTACTACGTTACATTTTAAAGGTGAAATATAAAACGTATGAAGGGAGTCGGTAGCTTAGGGGTTTGAGCACTTGACTTGTAATCTACAAGTTCTAGATTCGTATCCCGCCATATAACAATGTGATTTCCGAATTTAATATGTATGTAATTTACCCGACGCTCTTACGATGAAGGAAAACATCGTAATGCAACCTGCATATATCAGCGAAGATATTCAAAGATATGTGTGAAGTCACAAACCGACATTTGCCCAGCGTGGTTGACTATGGCCTAGTCCTACTTCGGGTAGGTTCCGAGCCTCTCAGTGGTGACGTACATATGTGAGCTGGCGATGTATCAAAAATAATTCAGGTATC